GTCTATGGCCCTAGGAGGGAAGGCTAGAAAGGAGGAAGCAGTTTAGGCAAAGACCTTAAAAGGAAAGCCCCTATGATGATAACTAAGTAGTGACTGTCTGCAAAGTACATTTGGACCTGGAAGACCACATCAGCTTAGTTTTAAGAAGTCAAAGCAGTCTTGGGACTTCTCAGAGGAGGAAACAAAGAGGAAAAGGGCCCTGGTGGGATATAATTATAGCCAGCCTCCTGATCAGCAGGACTATGTGACCGCCTAGTCTCAGGGACCCAATCAGGAGGGGTCTGCTCTGCCACACTGGCCGCTCATCCCAGATGTCCAGCTCCTGCTGCCCATGGGGTCCCGCCCCACACGGGTGGTGCTGCCTGAAGGAAATGAACAGTGCTCCGGAAAAAGTGCTCTGAAACCTTGGCCAGCGCATATCCTGGCTGTGGGGAGTCATCAAAGCCTGTTTACTGGGCTATTTTTAGAATTAAAGAGTCTTGTTGTCCTCCCCAGGCCATGCATTCGCCATCCCAGCAGAGTGCCTCTGTTTCTGATGGCCTGGCTTACTCCTCTGGGATTAGAACCTAAGAGTCCTGGGAAGCAAGTTACTGAGGTCCAGAACCCAAGGACTGAAAGACCCAGTTGACAGCTTATTGAGCACCTAGTGTGGGCCCCTTACTTTACTCTGCATCAAGGTTTATTCTTGTGGAACTTCAGAGTGGTTTATCTTTGTCTGTAGATTCTTTGAGGGAAGAGATTGCTCTATACTTCTCAACATCCCTGATGCTCCCAAGTATAGGAATGAGCACATCATAAGTGACATTTGCTGACTGAGGGCCTGTCTGATTTCTTGCTATGCCTAATCCAGTGCAGGCACATAGTAGGAGCTTGAAAACTGCTTTGTTCCTGTTAGCTGCCATCAAGTTGGCCCCCAACTCATGGTGACCCCATGTACAAGAGGATCAGACCATTGTGATCCATAAGAGTTTCATGGGCTGATTTTTAGAAGTCAGTTGTCAGGCCTTTCTTCCTAGTCTATCAGTCTGGAAGCTCCACTGAATCATGTTCATTATCATAGCAACATGCAGGCCCTCCACTGACAGATGGCTGGTGGCTGTACATGAAGTGTACTGGCCAGGAATCAAACTTGAGTCTCCTGCATAGAGACTGAACCATAGATGCCCCCTGAAGAACTGCCAAGCAAGTGAATTTTCTTGTGCCTAACACCGAGTTGGAGATTAATGTTATATCAGGGAAGACATGATATCCACATGGATGAGCAGGGGAAAGGCAGGGTAGAATTCAGTGGGAGATGATAAGAGCTGAGCCTCTGAGCCCTTGAGTGAGGGTCCACCTCCCAGCTCAGCAGCTTTCACCCTCCCCTCCAAACAGGATGCAAATGACCTGGCATGGTGCCCTCAGAAGCTCCAAGATGCTGCTGGTGCTGTAGGAGCAAGGAGTCCCACAGAGAAAGAGGCCCCACCCAAGCCCTGCAGTCACAGGGTCCCTGGGGGCAGCCTGCTGGCTTCCTGGTCCTCCAGCCATTGTGACTTCAGTTCCAAGACGTTCTGTTTCTATCGTGGCCCCAGAGCACCCCTCTCTCCCTCTCTTTCTCCCTCCCAGAGGCCTGCTGACCTGCTGCAGTAGCCAATTTCGCCACCTCCTGGAAGCAAGTGTACTGGACACTGGTGGAAACCAGTTTGGCTGTGTTGGAACTATTTTAAAAAGGAAATTTTAAGCAGAAGTATTTCCTTTGGGCCTAGTTACCCCAAACAGGGTTGTCTGGGGATGACTTCCAATTTTGAAGTCAGTTTTGGCACTGAGATCAAAGAAATTAGAAAATATCTTCTCAATACAAGAAACCACAGAGCGGGCCTTCTGCTTGTCAGGAGAAAGTACTCACCTATCTAAAACAAAAAACCAATCTCACTGCCATCAAGTTGATTTGACTCATAGCGACCCCTTCTTGGGTTTCCAGTATCTCTATGGAAGTAGATTGCCTAACCTTCCTTTCGACGAGTGGCTGGTGGCTTTGAACTGCCAGCCTTCTGGTTAGCAGTCAGATGCCTTAGGCATTATGATACCAGAGATCCTAAATGATGCTGCAAACTTCTCCTCACTCAACTAAAAAATAGGTCACCACCTACCAAAATGGAATGATACACCCAGCGTTAGGGTCACTCATTGGACCTTGAATTAAGACAGTGGTTCTAAAGTGTGGTCCTAGGACCAGCAGCATCAACATCATCTTGGAACTTGTTGGAAAAGCAAATTCTCAGTTCTCACTACACCTACTGAATCTCTTGGAGTGGGGCATTTCCAGGCCCAGCTTCCTGGGCGTGTGACCTGTGCAGTCACACAGGGCTCCTCACTTAGGAGGACCCAGTGCTTGCTTTAATTTTTGAAGGGGGGTCCTGCATTTTTACTTTGCACCGTTGTTGTTGTTGTTGTTACGTGCCATCGAGTCAAACCCGACTCATAGCAACCCCTCCTTGGGTTTCCAAGGCAGTATCACTACAGAAGTAGGATTGCCCAACTTTCCTTCCAAGGAGTGGCTGGTGGGTTTGAACCACCAGCCGTCTGGTTAGCAGGCAAGTGTCTTAGCCACTATGCTACCAATTACTTTGCACTGGGTCCCACAAATTATGTAGCCAGTCCTGGGCCCAGACGTTATGCTTTAGCCAGCCTTCCAGATGATTTTGATGCACACTCAAGTTTGAAATCCCTAATTAAGTCACTGTCTCTCCTAAAAGCTTCTGTTGAAATGCAGATGTTAACTGGGAGAGCTGACCTTAGCAGGAGCAGCACCCATACCTGGAATGTTCGTTCCTTATCGTTAGTTTAGCTGACTAGTTAATTGGCAAAGAACAGGTAAGAGACCGTAAATAAGAGTGACATGTGGGAATGTGTGTGTAATAAGGACATTCCCATAAAATATAATAAACAGAGGGGAAACCACCAGGATATGACTCTGTACAACCCAGTTCTTGGCTCCAGAGGCTGGCCTGGCCCTGGACAGGCCGCACTCTGTTCCTCTGCAGAAATAGCAGCATCTGTGATTGCAGCACATGTGCGGTCCTGTGTCCTGAAAGATAGCTGGTCCCCAGTGGCGCCATGGAAGCCCCTCGGTAGGAACATGTCCTAATTTGGATTTGTTCTTCTTGAGGAATAATAATGGCGTATAGCCCAGAGCTTAATTTTGGGGGCTCAAGGAAAAAAGAGAAGAGAGAATTAAATAAATCCAGGGCCCTTGCAGAAAGGCCCTTGGCCCCCATTTCATAGTATTAATGTGTTCCTTGCCAAATGGCCCATAAATCTAATTGCATTTTACATTCCCTGGAATTGTCTCAGTTTAAAAGACTACTTTTAGTTAAGTGAATAGTAACTTTTATAAGTGACAAATTACTCTGTAATTTCCTTGTCCTATAAATCGAGCAAGAGAATACCTGGATTGATGTTTGTACTGGATGAATAGATTTTTATATAAATAATGCCTATTTCTAGTAGAGTAAGAGCTAGAACAATGGGTCACTGACATAAAGTCTTTGTTCTGAGGATAATGGGCCTGGTCCTGAGAGTTTCATTTGGGATAGTAGCTGAGTTTTTACATTTTGCAGAGAGTAGCAATATATTTGGCTGTGGTTGCTCAAAGTGGTTGGTTTGGGGGTGGATATTTTCCTGGGTTGCCCTTAGCAACCACCTTTCCAGGCTGCCATCAGGGCAGTTTCCTCTTTACTTTGTTCTCCACCTCTGGCTTTCACTCCTTCAGATCATCCTGCATGCCACTGCCAGATTAACCTCCCCCAAACCATGCTCTGAGATGCCACTCTTCTACTCAAAAGCCTCCTAGACTCCTTTGCCTGGAATGTAAGATGCCCCAGGAACCAGCCCAGTCCCTGAGAAGTGGGAAAATGGACCCTGTTCCTCAGCCAGATGGGCCTCCTTACACAAGTGTCTGGGAGGGAGTTTGCTCCAGACCCCTCCCTCTCCGTGTACTTTCCACTACTCAACCCCATCTGGTCAGGAAAGCCCTTCTTTCTTTCTTCATAGTGAAATCCCCTTCTTTCATGAGTTTCTTCAAATTCCTTTTTTTTGAAACAGTTGTCTCTGACTACTCCAAAGCAACCCCCCTCCCTGTGCACCCTGAGTCTACACTCCTCCTTGGGCTTCCATCTTGACTCCCTTAGTCTTGCATCTGTGTGCCACCTGTCCCCCACCTACACTTTGAGCAATTTGGCGGTAGTGACAGCGTCTTAGAAGGAACGGAACAGGGAAAGAATTCACATGTGTTGATACAGTTTAGGCGTTTTACATACTTATTTAATCCTTACAACTTAATGAGATGGAAATTATTATCCCCATTTAGCTGATAAGGAAACTGATGTTTGAAGAGATTGTTACTCACTTGAAGTCATAGTCCACTAAGAGGCAGAGCAAGGAATAGAATCTGAGCTAGGAATAGACTCACAGATTCTTTAAAATCTAAACACAGTTAAAGAGTGTGGCTTCTGGATTCAGAGGCCTGGGTTCAAAATGTGGCTTATAAGCTTTACCGCCTTGGACCGGTAACTTAACCTGTCTAAGCTTCATCTGTCGAATGAGACTAAGAATAGTACCTAACTCATAGGTTGTTGTGAAGATATATAACATGCTTAGTACAGTGTCTGGCATGCAGTTATTGCTCAATATACATTAGCAGCTAAAGTTTTTGTTCCTACCACTCCTATGACTACTGTTATAGCTATGACTGTAACTGTTACTACTATTAGTACTTACTGCAAATACTACTGTCACTGTCACCATTCTGGCTGAAAAGCCATCTCATGGTGTCCTCTATGTAGTGGTGCTCACCAAATGCTCACTGCATGGGCATGGGGCAGGTACTTGGATGGTTGGCAGTGTGCATTTCTAGAAAAGGCCATTGATGCCTTTGAACCCTCCCTGGAGGCCATCTATCCATGCCAGTCATGTCTGTGTTCACAGTCTGGCAAGTCATTCAATCATCTTTCTCTTTCCAGTTTGTTCTGAAAATGAGTCTGAAGCTGAGGCTGACCAGCAGATGGACAACTTGTACCTGAAAGCCTTGGAGGGTTTCATTGCTGTGGTGACCCAAGATGGTGACATGATCTTTCTGTCAGAAAACATCAACAAGTTCATGGGACTCACACAGGTGACACCTTCTTCTTTCTCTTTCAAAAAGGGAAAAAGTTTCCATTTGTGGTAGAAATTAGTGAAAGGTGCTAGTCACATTCTCTCCCAACCTCTCCTTGCTTATACCCACTCTGACCCTCACTGATGCCAGGCTATAAATCTCAGATAGGACTCATACTCCCTAGCATTGGGTTCGGCATTGCTGATGGCCATCCTGGTGGACAACTCTCTGCTGACTAGATTAACTGGTCAATCATTGTGGGGTAACTCTATGGTCATCAATGGATAGTCATCTATTACATCCTTAGTGGTCCCAATTATTAGATTGGGAATATGAGGAGACCTGGTTCAATGTCCTCCCTTTCTCCAAATCTGGAAAGTGAGTCCACTTCTTGTTGGAATCTTCCACTTCAACACTGGCATTGATGAAGCCCAACCTTGTTTTTGAAAAGGTGGAGCTAACAGGACACAGTATCTTTGACTTCACTCATCCCTGTGACCATGAGGAGATCCGTGAGAACCTGAGTCTCAAAAATGGTAAAGTAGTCTTCATTGTGTGCTTCCTTCCTCCTTTCCCCTCTGGGACAAGATCTGCATTCCCTTTGTCTACAAGTATAGGAGAGACAGCCCATGGTTGTTATACTCCAGGAAAAACTAACACCCATAAAAAATGCAGCAGGGCTGGCCCTCTGTGTAGGCATGAAGGCTATAAGATATAATTGGTGCTCTGAAAGGACCCAATACTCATGGTTATCTGCTTCTGGACTTGCATGGTGCCTGATATCACACTATTAGGCTACTCCTTTAGGTTAGGACACTATCTCCAGGAGGTTTCATCACCTGAGAGTCTAGCAACTTTGCCAAGTGATGCCAACCAAACCAATGCACTCATCTCTGAATGTTCATGAGAAAGTTGCAATAGCCTGTTGCTATGTAACAACCACCTCAAAGAAAAGTAGCTTCAACAACAATTGTTTTATTATCTCTTACATCCTATGGGTTGTTCTTTTAGTCCATGGGCTGTCATCTGGCCAAGACTTATCTGGGGGTTCCACTGGGCTGATCAAGATGGCTCAGTCATGTTCCTGGTACGTTGGTGGCAGATAGCTAAAGGTCTGGACTCAGCTGGGATGCTAGGATGGCTGGGCTTAGGTCTCACTCCTTGGAGTATCTCTTTTTCCACATGCTGTCTCCAGGGTAGCTAGACTTTTAACATGACAGGATTCCCAAAAGTACAAAAGTGGGAACTTCTAGGCCTTCTCATGGCTTAGTCCTGAATCCATTTCTAAAGCAGATGCTTAAAGTCTGAGAAAAGCAAAAAGTCTCTCATTATTTCTCTACCCCTGAAATCCCTTGGTCCCTGGGTTCTTGGTCTCAGTTTGACCACTTACCCTAATCTCAGCTCAACTGTGTGACCTGAGCCAAGTTACTTTACCTCTCTGTTCCCTAGGGTGACTCTTTTCTAACTGATGGTATTGGATGAAGCAAAGTCTAGGACCTGCCAGCTCTCAAATGCCATGATTCATAGCCAAGTGAGCTCTGTTTATCTGAGTAGAACTTTAGATCTCTTGGTGCATGTATTGGATTTTTGATCAGTCAAACTCAGTGAATCAGCAAATCCTCATTGAAGGTGTAGTCCTGTAGTGGACCCATGATCTGGAAGCAGAGTTTGTGTGAGCTCCTAAAGGAGGATATAGCCAAGAGGCAGAGTATGGAAACCTTTAAAGGTCAAGCAGAGGGCCTCGAACTTTACCTTGTTGATAATGGGAAGCTGTTGAGGTTTTGAGCAAAAGTGGGTGATCTGATTGGAGCTATGGTTAGAAAGATTAATCAAATGGCAGAATGGGTAGAATCTGGAGGTTAAGAAGTTAGGAAGCCATATTAATAACCGAAGAGAACAGCCACAAGTGGGTCCCCCTCAGTTACCCTCCTCCCACACTGAAGCTGCTCTGTTAGGTCCAGACCACAACTTACACGTATGTCTCATTATATGCAAACCCCACCAATGAAAATTAAAATTATAATATACATAATTAAGGATAGGAGAGAGAGTGTTATAATCATGATGAAAGATTACTCTCTTTTAAAAGTACAAAAAGAGTCACTGTTTGGTCTGTTTTTTAGTGAGCTCTCCTAAGAATGTCTAAGATAGGTTCAAGGGTGCTGCATTTCATTTGACATGCAACTCTTTAGGGACATGAGTATCAAGTGAATCAAAGTCCTTTGCAACTTTAGGTGTAGGGACTGATGGCTGTGCCTAGAGGGAGAGGTGTGACTATTTGAAGCAAGGCTCCAGATTGTTCTGTGATGGGGCCAGAGGACAGGAATGTAGCTTGTAAGGCTCAGGACAGGGATGATGGTGTGGGCAGAATATACATTTGGACAAGGGGGACTCAATTGATACTTGCTGCATCCATTACTTTGTGTTGGAAAAGGTAGAAAATGTACTGAATGGACAAGCTTTTTGAAGACAATAAGGAAGGAAGCTGTGTTGCTGGTGTTGGTGATTTATTTAATTCTGCTTGAGAAAGGATATTATGCATGTTGAGTTAATCTTCAAAGTGGACTTGCTAATTAAATCCCAGGAGATTTGAACCAGAGATTTCTCTTGAGCCTTGACACATGCCACTTTAGAGAAGAAGCTAATGGCACAATATCTTAAAAGCAGACATTGCAGATTGCAAATAGAGTACAATAGCGTTCAAATTCCTGAAGGACAGGTTATAAATTAAAGGGCAGAATGTCTGAGGGACATCTCTAACCTGAGGAGGCATATTGCCTTGGAGTAACTGTGGCTGTTTAGAATTCCTGTTAGAAAGCCCAGGTCTGCCCCAGAGGAGATTTGCTGAGGTCATTTGTAATAGTCATTGGATCGAGGGCGACCATGTGTTAGGTACAATGGGAAATAAAATTATGGCCCAGCCCCTACCTTCAGGAGGTTATATTCCAGTTGAAGAGACAAGCTGAACATGAGAAACATTAGTTGATAGGCTGACAAACTGCTGCTGAGTATGTGGCAACCTGTAGGTGCTCAGAGAGCAAATAGGAAGTGGTTGTGGTATGAATGGGGAAGGGACATTTTGTTTGAGAAATGCAAAGAATAAGGTTCCAAGGACAACTGCATGGAACCTCTCTTCAGTAAAACTGAATTCAACTGCCCTCCCTACCACCTTCATCCAGGCTCTAGTTTTGGGAAGAAGAGCAAAGACATGTCCACAGAGCGGGATTTTTTCATGAGGATGAAGTGCACAGTCACCAACAGAGGCCGAACCGTCAACCTCAAATCAGCCACCTGGAAGGTAGGACAGCCTCAGGCCTGTGTTGGAGTCCTGTGTATGGGACAGTGGGCCCCTTAAGCACCACCATCCCCCACCCCCCACACCTTGGCCTATGTCTGACCCTCCATTGCTGGTCTCCAGGTCTTGCATTGCACTGGCCAGATGAAGGTCTACAACAACTGCGCCCCTCACAGTAGTCTCTGTGGCTACAAGGATCCCCTGCTCTCTTGCCTCATCATCATGTGTGAGCCCATCCAGCACCCATCACACATGGATATCCCCCTGGACAGCAAGACCTTCCTGAGCCGCCACAGCATGGACATGAAGTTCACTTACTGTGATGACAGGTGGGGGCCTGGTGTGTTTGTTCAGCAGTGGGGTGGGTCTTACCTGCATGTGAATGGGGATGTGCCTGTGGCAAATGTCTGGGTCTGAGGCATAAATATTCAAGTTCATAAGCCTGTTTCATTGTTCAGTTCCAACAGTGCAGCTAAGAGGTTCCTACTATCAGATTTGGTGGTGTCCCCATTGAAGCAGCATCAGCACCTGTCTGTAGAGCTGTTCTGGTGTATGATGCTCTTGTCGTTGTTGTGGTGTATACATAACCCTCCGCATATGTATCTGGCTACTAAGGGAATTTCCAGAACAGTCTCCTTCCCCAAGGAGATAAGGGTCTAGAGATTTCTGTCGGTACTCTCCATTCAGAGACCGGCTGGGAGCTTTGGGTTGTGGTCTGGAAACTGACCCACAGACAGATGGCTTTCTCTTGTTCTCTTCCATTACTGTGCTTTCCTCTCAGCTTTTACCACCCCTGAATACAGCTCCATCCCAGTCACCTTCTAGCCACATTTTGAAGGTTTTTACATGAGGGGCATTAAGCTAGTTACCATCAAGTTGACTGGACTCATGGTGATCCCAAGTGTTTCAAAGTAGAACTGTTCTCCACAGGGTTTTCAGTAGCTGTGACCTTTGGGAAGCAGACGTCTAGGCCTTTCTTCCAAGTCACCTTTGGGTGGGTTAGAACCACCAGCCTTTCAGTTAGTAGTAGTCAAGCACTTCACCATTTGTGCCAACCATGAACTTCCCGAGCCCCAAAGCCAGGCCCAAGTGGAAATTCCCTTGTGATATAATGTAGTGTTAAGAGCATGGACTCTGGGACTAGATGGCATGGATTCAATTCCAATAAATAATGTTCAATGTCAGCTATTATTTTCACCTACATTGTATCCATATTAAAGTTGTTGAAAGAGCACATAAGGCTACAGATGTAAGCCATGTCACATCAAGCTCTTGGATTAACTTGAGGGTTGAAACAGATGGGCAAATGACTTGGGTTGTAGTGGAATGGAGTGTTAAAGCCCCACTACAGCTCCTAACTCCCCCAATTGCCTGACGTCTGGCTCCAGCATTGGAAATGTGAAGTCCTGATGATCAGGAAGTGGAAGGAGGAAGATAGGACAGAATAGATGTGGTGAGCAATGACCAACACTAAGGCATGCAAGAAAAGCCAGGAGAAGGTGCTGATTCAGGAAGACAGGGCCCAGGTTGGCCTGGCCAAGTAAATGCCACCACTGCTTGAAGGCTAAGCATCCATGGATGTACCTTTCTGGGCAGCAATCCCCCAATGTGACCTCAGCCTTCTGCAGTGTACAGAGTCTCCATTTTTCCCCAGAGTCCTATTTCCTGTGGCAGCTCTTTGCTACTCCAACCATTCTCTCCTCATCTTCTATAGTTTTCCTCAGGAAATCCTAAGGTCTCAGTTTCCTCATCTGTAAAATGAGAGTGATAATACTATCTCAGCCTGTTTCACAGAGTCACTGTCAGATGAGTTATCAGCTATGAAAGCACTTTCATAGATTGCTCAGGGCTATCTGGAGTTTCTTCATGGATGGGGTATTGATTTGTGGCCTCTTCTTAGAATTAACCACCACTCCCACCACAATTAAGTACTTTTGGAAAAGTATCCTTCAGTCATTCCTGTCTCCCAGCTCTGACCATCACAGTACCAGAACTCAAGGCTATTAGAGATGGTGTGTAGGTATACAAGTAGAAAGAAACACTCCAACCTCAAAAGGAGGAAATGGCACATATGAAACCTTTTGAAGAACCTTAATCCAATCAGGCCTTTATTGCAGTTATTATTCTTGTTGTTGTGGTAATGATAATGATTAAAGAGAGAGCTTGCTCTAAAGGCAGGCACCAGAGGAATGCATGTTGTGTGTCAGGTTTGTTGTTGTACCAATATCAGGCTATTTTAACTACTGTGGTTGTATAGTAGGTTTTGAGATCTGAGAGTGTGAGACCTCCTACTTTGTTCTTCTTCAATAGTGGTTTGCTTATCTGAGATCTCTTTCCTTTCCATATAAAATTAGTGATTGGTTTTTCCATATCCTTAAAGAATGTTGATGGGAACTGTATTGGAATTGCGTTGAATACATAGATTGCTTTGAGTAGTATTGACATTTTCACAATGTTCAGTCTTCCATTCATGAGCATGGTATATGCTTCCATTTATGTAGATCTCCTAAAGTTTCTTGAAGTAGTGTTTTGCAGTTTTCTTTGTACAGGTCTTTTGTGTCCCTAGTGAGATGGCATTTGACTGCTAACCAGAAGGCTGGTGGTTCAAACCCACCAGCCACTCCTCAGAAGGAAGACTGGGCAATCTACTTCCATAGAGATACCACCTCGGAAACCCAAGGAGGGGTCTCTGTGAGTAGGATTTGAGTTGATGGCAGTGAGTTTTTTTTTTTTGTTTTTTTTTTAATTGTAAATGGTATTGATCTCCTTATTTCCTTTTCAGCAATCTCTTTGCTGGTGTAGAGGAATCCAACTGATTTTTGTGTGTTGATCTTGAATCCCGCCACTATGCTAAATCTCTCAATTAGTTCCAGTAGGTTTTTTTTGCTGAGTCTCTTGAGTTTTCTATGTATAGGATCATATCATCAGCAAACAGGGATAGTTTTAGTTCTTCCTTACCAATTTGGATGCCTTTGATTTCCCTTTCTTGACTTATCACCTTGCCTAGGACTTCCAATACAATATTGAATGGAAGTGGTGATAGAGGGCATCCTTGTCTGGTTTGCATTAGCAAGGGGAATAATTTCAATCTCTTTCCATTGAGAATAATGATAATGTGTGCATTTATTGCTATAAAATTGGCCTCTGATCACTGCTTTTGCTGTATCCCAAAGATTTTGGTATGTTGTGTTTTCATTCTCATTTGATTCAAGGAATTTTTTAATTTCATTTTTCATTTCTTCTATTACCCAGTCATTTTTAAGGAGGGTGTTATTCAGTTTCCATGTGTTTCCTCTTTTTCCATTGATCTTCCTATTGTTGATTTCTAATTTTATAGCATTATGATCTGAGAAGATGCTTTGCAGTATTTTAGTTTTAAAATTTATTAAGGCTTTCTTCTGGCTTAACATATGGTCTATCCTGGAGAATGTTCCCTGTGCACTGGAAAAGAATGTATAATGTGCTGTTGTTGGGTGAAGTGCTCTGTAGATGTCTATAAGGTCAAGTTGGTGAATTGTATTGTTTAGATCTTCTGCGTCTTTCTTGAGTTTCTTTCCAGTTGTTCTCTCTTTAATTGAAAGTGGTGTATTAAAGTCTCCTACTATGACTGTGGAGTCATCTATTTGTCTTTTCAATTCTGTTAAAAGTCTGATTTATGTATTTTGGGGATCTTTCATTGGGTCCATAGATATTTATTATTGTTATATCCTCTTGTTCAATTGATCCTTTAATCATTATATAATGTTCTTCCTTGTCTCTTATGGTGGTTTTTGTCATAAAGGCAATGGTATCAGAAATTAATATTGCCACTCGTCCTCTTTTATGGTTGCCATTTGCTTGATGTATCTTTTTCCAAACTTTGATTTTTAGTCTATTTTTGTCTTTGTCTCTAAGGTGTGTCTCTTGTAGACAGCATATTGATGGGTTATGTTTTCTTGTCCAGTCTACAACTCTCCATCTCTTGAGTGGTGCAATTAATCCATTGACATTCAGTGTAATTATCGACAAGTATGAATTCATTGCTGTCATTTTGTTATGTGTTTTTTTGTGGTGTTCCTGGTTTCTTTGTTCCATATCATTTTCTGTGCTGAGCTCATTATGTTTATGAATCATGTTATCATTTCCTTTGTTGCTATTGTGTAAATATTTGCTAAATATTTGTGCTTGTTCTCTTTTTTATTTTGATGTGAAAGTTTATCATTTTTGTTTGAGATTGCGCTGTGATTTATAATTTTCTTCCCCAGTTTAGAACAGTCCATTCTATCTTGTAATTGTCTTAACTTCTTCATCATATGGAAGTTGTGTAACTACACAGTTTTTTCCTTCTTTCTGGTTTGTAGTTGTCCTCATTTGCCAATTGATGTCTCTGGTTCCCTGTTTACAATCTTGTAGGCTTATTTCCTTTGGATACTTCCATAACTGGGTTGGTTTCTGGGTTATGTCATCATATATGTTAATGGTTGGTTGTTGTTTGCTATTGTTGGTTCTCTGTGCAAAGGACTCTTTTAGTATCTCTTGTACGGTTGGTGTAGTTTTAGCAAATTCCCTTAATTTCTGCTTATCTGGAAATGTCCTAATTTCACCATCATATTTGAGGGACAGTTTTGCTGAGTATATAATTCTTGTTTGGAAATTTTTTTCTGTCAGGGTTTTATGTATACCATCCCATTGTCATCTTGCCTGCATGGCTTCTGCTGACAAATCAGAGTTTAGTCTTATTGCTTTCCCTTTGTAGGTAATTCTTCGTTTTTCCCGTGCTGCTCTCATGATTCTTTCTTTGTCTTTGCTTTTGAGGAGTTTGATGGTGATATATCTTGGTGATTTGCTTTTGAGGTCTATCCTGTTTGGGGTTCATTGGACTTCTTGAATGGATATATTCTCGTCTTTCATCATATCAGGGAAGTTCTCTTCCAAAAAATCTTCAACACTTGTCTCTGTGGTTTTATTTGTCTCTTTCTGTTCTGGAATTCCAATTACATGTAGGTTTTTCCTTTTGATGGTATCTCACATGAACTGTAGGCTTTCTTCATTTTTTTTTTTTTAATCTTTTTTCTGATTGATCCCTTTCCAAAGAAATATTGAGGTATTTGTCTTCAATCTTACTAATTCTCTCTTCCCTTGATTCAATTCTACTCCTTTACCTGTTCAATGTCTTATCCATTTCTGAAAATTTAGTATTGATCTTCTGGATTTCTATCTGTAGATTTTGTATCATTTCTGACATCTCATTTATTTTGTCATTTTGTTCTTCTGTTGTCTTCCATAATTGTTCTAAGGTTTTCTCTATGCTTTCCTCCATTTTGTTAGTGTTTTCCTTGATCTGTCTCAC